ATGCGCGGCCCCTGCGTCCCGCGTGGCAGCGTGGGGTGCCTGGCCCCGGTGTTCCCTAGGGCAGCGTGCAGTGCCCGGCTGGTGCGTCCTGCAAGGCAGCACACCCGCGCCTGGCTGGTGGGTCCTGCAGGGCAGCGTGCCACGCCTGGCCTGCAGCTGCCTCCCGGCAGGGCTTTGCCCGACAGCCCCTTCACCCCGGATCGTCCGTTCCCCATGGCCCAGTCAGGGATTAAAACCGAAAGACCGCAGCTAGAGGGAGCTCAGCATTACACCGACGCTTGTTTAAAGCAGAAGGAAAATAAATCCGAGCTTTCCTGCCACCGTGGAGGAACCCCATGTTTGATTCTCTCGCAGCACCGCATTAAGCTTTGGTGCTGCTCCTCACCCACCCCAGACCCACCAGCGAGGCAAAGCCTGAGAGCGCTAGGCTGCACCAAACACGCTCCCCAGAGCAATCAGGCGCTCTCTCCAACACAGGGCACCCACAGGACTGGGACCTCAGGGTTTCTTCATCAGCTCTGCTTGCCCGCTCTGGCACAAAGGAGCGAGGCACCTTCACCGGAGGATCTTGGCTAGGTCAGAGCAGTGCACAAACACACCGAGCTGTTTACACAGCAGGAAGAGAGGAGATGCAGGCAGCCTCTCCTCGTACAAACACTCACGTGGGGGCTAGAAGCCTTTGAAGAACACAATGACCTTCGCTATCTGCTGGCAGATAGCGCAGGGCTGCAGGAGGCTCTACTTACAAACTCATCAGCAAGGCATTTCCACCACCTTTCTTTTCCTGTCTCAGAAAGGCTCCATAAAGAGCCAACCACCCTTGTACATTTTTACGTTTTATAGGGTCAACATTTCTACAGAGTATCACGTTAGAAAACATCCACTCAAGTACAACATCAGTAGCAGCGCAGGAGAAAGGTTCAGCGCCCAGAGCAGAGCTGGTAACAACGCAGCCCAGCAAGAAATAGGAACCACGTGGCTGGGGGCACACAGAAGCCTTTAGCTGAGACTTCAAAGCCTTTCCAGATGTTTCACCTCTCCTGTTTTGCCCCCCAAGTCCACAGTTGTCTTCAGTCCACGAGGCACACGGCCTCTTCATTACAATTAGAGCACTCTTGGATTCAGGGAAGCACCGCCCTGCCAAGATATAAGCAAATCCCGGGCTCCCCAGTGCTGGCTTCCCGCTGTGTGGTGCCACTGCCAGTTTGTCCCTGCTTTGAAACTACCATCCTCGCTACCAGTCCCCAACTTGCTCATCTCACTGAAAGAGAACATGAACTTTCCTCCTGGATGCAAATGGCATCATCATAAGGTATGTTGCTTTGGGCCATACTATCCCAAATCCTTACTTTGCTTTTGTTTAAAATGTTACGTTGGCTGAAAATCCAAAACAAAGCAGCAACACAGAATATGGTCAGCAGTAAAATAACGGTTAGTAGAACAGTACAACAGGACAGAACACATTCACAAATGATGGGATTCCTCCTCAGCCATCCCATTACCAGATCAGGCTGCCAGCCTCCATCAGCAGAGAGCGGAGGAACAAATCAGAACCAGCTGCCACGGAACGTACCAAACTCCTACCAGAAAAGATCCACTTTTGCTCTTACTGTATAGAACAGAGCACATGGGAGCGGCCCTGTTCTGTACACAAGTAACATACATAATAACAGGGGAGAGCAGATCATCTTCAGGCATTAGATGATTCGGGGAATGATTACAACACAGAGTTGATTTGCAGCCTGTGAATGCATAAAGCCATTTCAGCTGTAGCTCCCAATAAAAAGTTCACCACAGCCTCACAAGCCAGGCATTTGCTTCAGATATTCCAGTTCAATGTAACTGCAAATTAATCCATGCCACTTTGTTTCCCCCCTTAGACTTCATGTACATAGACGTCTTGAAGCTCCACTGCTCAGTGGAGCGATGATTCACTGAGCTAGGCTTCCCTTCTGACCTGTCCACAGCTCTCGGAGCTCCACTTTGCAGCCAAGATCCCTCAGTGCAGCTTTGGCCACGTCATCGCAGTCCTTGTGTGTTGCGCGAGCTTCTGTTATTAGGTTCTCAGCTCCCATCTCTAAGATGGGCTGAGAAAAGTCCCGGCTCCGGGAGACCAGGTTGCGGATCAGCATGCAAGCCTGTTTCTGAGGAGAGAAGTAAACGAGAGATATTAGCATCTTTTGTAGGGAATACCATCCATGTAGGATGCCAGCACACACAAAGAAGACGTGGCTCCTACTAAAGAACCTTTTCTGGGCAACCAAACGTGAGATGCCGTAGACAGCAACAAACTATTTCCTGGAAGAATAAAATCCACGGACAAAAGCACGGCTGCTATTTCTCATTGAAGTTTATACAACAAAACCTTCTGCTTCTGTCAGAACAGCAGCAAATCTCAAACACCAGCCAGGCAATATTGAGTACTTCTTTAAATAATGCTAAGACAGACTTCTCCAGTTACAGCAGGCCCACTTTTCTACCGCCTGGTATGCTCTTCCAGGCACCTTCCCTGGCAGTTAGCTTCAACTACTAAATATATTCTATGGTATTTTAACACTCTGGAGAGCACAAAAGTGGACACAGGACCTACTGAGACTTGCATGAGAAACCAGAGGCTAACTTCTTGCCATGTAGGTGTTCTATTCAACTCTGGAGAACAGATGGCAACGTCTCCTATAGGACAGATAACATCGTAGCACAGGCTGGGTCTGAAGGAGCCTATCCTCATCCTGCTCTTTCGAGGAGGAGGAGGAGTCGTAACGCCTGGAAGAGAAGCATGGCATTCCACAGTCGCTTGAACCTGAATTCAGGTGGATTTGAAACCCAAATTAACTTTTGCTCTGATCACATCAGGGTGACAGATGTAGGGAGTCCTGCATTCAGATGCTGCATTCCCAACATAGTCAGAACCTTTTCATATTTGCCAAGAAAAGGACAAAACCCCAGTGAAGCAGTGAACACAGGCAACACCAATCCTGAATAAATAATCAAGTGCTCTGAGGCAAATACCTGTACGGCCACTTCTCGTGGGTGTGCTTTCATAGCCTGAAGAGCTGCCAACGCCCCTCCGCCTTCCATGATGACATTACAGTTCTCAGGTTTGCGCAAAGCCAACACGCACAAGGCTGCACAACCCTGCTCACAGATCTGCAAGACAAAGGGCAAGAGACACTCACGGGCTGAAAATGTTGCTTTAGGGAAAAAAGTGTTTGGAGTTTGTTTCCTTTTTTGACGATTTTTAAAATTTATTTTTAATTTTATAAGTTTCTTCCACTGAAACATCCTGCTTCTCTGGCATAAACCAAGTTTTACACCTCAGAGGTGTTTACACCTCAGAGGTGTAAAACTGTATCCAGCATCCATCTGATTGAGGAACAAGAAAAAATCCCAGTATAATAAGGTGGACATACCTTTACATTTACACAAATATTTGCCAAAGCATGCACTTAACCACTCTACAACAACTGGATGTTAAAGGTTTAATACATTGCTCAGCTGCAATCATTTAACAACTGTACTTAGAATGTATCTGCTCTCAGCATAAGCTGTTTATCACAAGTCAGAGCAACGCTGTGCGTTGTTCCCCTACACAAGACGAGATAACACAGCTACATGATGCAGCCCAAACCTGATCTCCGTTCCCAGCCCCGGTGGGACTTCATCAACCACTTAGGTGCGTACCTGAGGGTTGGCAAGGTGATGGCTTATAGCGAGCACAATGAGGTCCGTTCCCCCAGCATTAACGATGGCATCTTTCACATCGTCATTACCCGCAACCGCTCGGATGGCGCTCAGCACCTGCTTCACCACGTCCTGCGTTCATCAAGAAAAAACAGCTTAGAAAGCTGCAGAGAGAGTTTTACAGACTTTTGAAAGCCAACCAGCACGTCCCCCAGCAACTCCATTCAAACAGCTGTAATTCCCAGTTATGAACAGCAACACTCTTCTCAGTCACTCACATCTCAGACGCATTTTTCTTGCTAGACAGAGTAATAAGGAACCTTGTTAGTTTGGCAGAGGTTTTCAGAGAAGCTTAAAGAATCGAACACCAAGCCTCTGGGACCCGAGCATCTAAATCCTCTTGAATCTCTTCTAGCTAGAATGGTGGAAAACCAGAAGCTCAGCTTTTCCGGGAGCAAGCTGAGTTCTGCTTGTGGAGGACAGAGGAAGTAACTATGAGCACGGGGCTCAGAATGACTACATTCTTATCTGACAAAGCACGTGTAACCTAGTTCTGTGTATAAGGCCATAAACAGAGATCAGTGGTTGGGTTTCAACCCTTAACTGCACCTAAAATAATGCATAGTCTAAGGCCCATTCACAGCCAGGACTTTAAACCGAAAAGCACGCCCTGCTGCATTACCTCCATTCCCAAGTACACTTTATATCGCTCACCGGATGGTCGATGCAGTCAGCCAGGAGAGCCACCATAAAATTTAAGCCGCCGAGGTCCACAATTTCTTGACAGAATTCATTCCTGACAGAGAGGCGAGAAAGGGTGGCACACAGTTCACTGAGAACACTGGAGTTATCTGTGAATGCTGCAGAGGAGAGATGATGAATGGAGTAACTACGAGGAAGGAGGGGTGCTGCAGAATCAAGGTGTTTTACCTTGCTTCATTGAAAAAAAAAAAAAAAAAACTAAACAGGGAACAGTGAATTTCCCTTTATGTATTAAAACACATAAGCACAGATGACATCCTGTTCACCCTGTATCTAGGCTGAGACAGAGTATCTTTCCTTGGCAAGAATGCAGCACCTCAGCAGGGATAATGTGCCTGTAAAATACTTCTTAGATAGACTGACAAATAGCTCTGATAACTGTCACCTTGGTGCTGCTGATAGCCTCTGGAGCAGTCACATTATTTTTCTCTTTTGGGGGACATTTCGTCAAAAGAATTAAACATCGTTTTAGTGGCAAATTTCTGAATCATCTCTGGGGAGCTTCCAGTTACAACAAAGCACAGTTTTGAGATAAGAAAGCACAGATGATTCAAAATTGGGATCAACGGTCATGGGGTTCATTTTACCTTTTGCAGCTTCAATGAGGACTCTTAACCCATCATTTTCCAGCACAATCATTTTGGCATGATCATGAGCATGACCAAAGGGCACGCGGATGTCATCATCAAACGTCATGATCCTGAGCGCTGAGGAGGCCATTCGGACGACATCGGCACTGTCTCCGTGCTGGACTATAGCTCCAGTCAGAAGTGGGAGAACCCCACCTTTCACAAAGTCCTGACGGTTCTGCTCGTGTTTCAGACAGGCATGCCGAATGCATCGGATCCCAGCCAGCGTCATTTCCGCATCCTCCCTATATTCTTTCAGAGTTTGTAGCAGTAGATCCTGGCCAGCGGAGTCAAGTAGGTCTGGCTGCCCATCCAAGATGGCAGACAGAGTATAAAAGGCTTTCAGCATTAAATTTCTGTCTCCTGAAGCCAGCTGGCAGGCAGAGAATACCACAGAATAGGCACCATTCTGCCCAGCCAGGTAGCGGAAAGCCAGCTGTTCTTTGCACTGATCAGTAAAGACCACTAGCTGCTCGGCCATCTCAGCAAGATCAGAGTCGGCAACGGCTCTCCCAAGGGAATCTAAAGTCTAAAGAAGAGAACAAGAGTTAACTTTTCGATCTGAACTGTGAAGGAACAAGAACAGTTCTTTATAGTCAGTCAAATTTGTTTATTTGTAATAATAGTCTTCTTTTAAATTTAAACTTAGTTTGACATATCAAAGAAACGGCTGTCTCAAAGAGCAGCATTTTGTCTTCATGCACGGGACCCTTGGAGGAACGGGGGCTTCCCTGTACTTCTGCCATCAACGTCACGCCATCACCGTATGCCAGTCTGACCAGCAGTAGGTGAATTGGGTCCAACCAGCACATTTCACGGGGGTCAGTGGTGCGCACGAGTATTTTTATATTCTTGCTGGTGAGGGACTGTATTCAATCTTTTCATCTACCTTCAGAAGGGCTAGATAACAGCTACCACTTAGGTTACTTGTATTTCTTTCACTGAAGTTCTTCTGTGGTTCGAGTTTACCTGACAACAGCAGAACCTGCTTCTAAGTTATGAAAGGGCAGTCTCTGCATTTCCTAGGCAGGAGATACTGGCATTTTGCACTTACACAGATACTTCCACTGAAAAGTGCAAGCTAGCTCTTTGAACCTTTATATTATTCCTAGTTTGCAGAATAGATGGGATTAACTGCTTGTTGAAGAGCTCACAAAGAAATGGGACAGAGGCAGACGTAGAAGGTATGTCTCATTATTCTTAGTCTATTACTTAAACTATTATATAACGCTGATCCTTAGAAGACAACATAAATTTGTGCTCCTACCAGCAAAATTTCATGCTTTTGCTTTTGACCATTTTCAGAGGCAGGCTGCCGCACAGCTTTCACAATATTGCTTAGGTCAACACCTAAAAGGAAAAACAAAAACAAGATTAATATTAGTTACAGGAGCTCGGGTAAAATTCGTCAAGTCAACCACAGCGAACAAAGAAAAACTTATTGTAAAGCATAGATCAATGCACAAAGATGCGGAAAGGCTGCCAAAGTTCTGGCTAACTATAATGGTCAAATATGTCCTGGAACAAAGCATCAATTCTAGCTAAATGCCAACTGGGAAAAAAAAAGAGTTCAATTCCATTCACCAAATTGCACCCTGCAGTTTCACCTAACGCAGTTTTTCAGTCATAATTACTTCATGAAACTAGGTTAGCGTTAATAGTATCTATGTTCCACTACACAAAGGCTTCTTTTCAATGCTGGATGATCAATCTTTGCACGCAGGTTCTCTTAAGTTTTGAGATATGTAAAACCTCAGTCTGCAATAACCTGAACTGCAAAAGTAGATGAATCTACAATACCTTGGGACTCAAACTGCTGCACAGCTTCTCTCACAGCCTCTTCCGGATCCATTTCAAATTCTGTAATGTTTTCTTGCACTGCATCATCAAATGTTTCCTGTGCAATCTGTTTCGATCCCATTTTACTTGGATGGGGCAAACTGCTTCCTCGTCCTGTCATTAAGATAGTCCACAATTAGTTTTGGTGCAAAACCTTCTAAGGATAATCAGAAACAAAGGAAGTGACTTGCTCTTTTCCAAAACAAAAGCACAGAACTTGAAACCAAATATATATAGTCAAAAGGATGGTTTTGTTTTGTTTTTTTTAACGGGCAGAAATATACCAATTAAAAGAAATAAGGAGGAATTTCAGAGGCCCAGGATTTGGATTGGGATGCCGTTGCTGCTCTGCTGTGGATGGGTGTGTTACCATGACACGGCTCTCACCACACCTCGCCTGCCGGAGGGGCACGGCGGGCAGCCTGCCCAGACACACAGGGCTCCGAGACCCCACACACTCGAGGGCTAACACAGCCCGGAGCCCCTCGGCCTGCCTCTGTCCCCGCTCCCGCAGCAGGGCCCGGTTCATCCCCGCATCCCCCTCAGCAGGCCCAGCCGGCCAGGCGGGCCCAGCCCCTCAGTCTTTCGGCGAGGCCTGCCCCGGAGAGGGCCCAGGAACCGGGCGCGGGTACTGGGGGAGCTCCCGGGCGCCCAACGGGCCCCGGTTCTCCTCACGACCCACCTCCGTCCCTCGCCGCCCGCAGCGCCGCTCCCTGACGAGCTCCTCCCGCCTGACAAAGAGCAAGCGGGCTGAGAGGACCGGCCCTACTCGGCCGCCGCACACAGC